TGGATCTCAAGTCCTAGAGAGGTTGTATTTTCTTGTTAACTCCACCATTTTGCTTTCCTCCTCAAAGAGTAATACTTTAAAAACATATTGCGGGGGTGAATCTTCATGAGCTTGGGGTTGGCAATGAATTCTTAGAAATGACACAAAGAAAAGCAGATAAGTTTGACCTCATCAAAATTTAAAACTTTTTGTATCAAATGATATTATCACGAAAATAAAAAGAGAACCCCCAGAATATTATAAATAATCTACAAATCATATATCTAAACTTCAAATACCTAGCAATTAAGAACTCTTACAACTCAAAAATAAAAAGGACAAAGCAACCTAATTTTTTAAATGGAAAAATTACTTGGACATTTTTCCAAATATATGAACGAAGGGTCAAAAAGCACATGAACAAATGTTCAGCATCACTAGGCACTTGAAGAATGCAGGTCAAAACCACAATCAGGCAACACCGTATAACCACTAAGGTAGTTATAATAATAAAAGAAAAATAGCAAGTGTTAGCAAGATTGTGGAGAACTTGGAACTCTCCCACGGCATTAGAAGGAATGGCAAGTTTTTGATGTTAGTATAAATGTTATTTCTTTATAAATGTCAAATTCCTGCTTTATTGATAGCATATAGAGAAAAAATTGACTTTTTAATCTTAACCTTGCATCCTGCAACTTTGATATACTACACTTCTTAGTTTGGATTCTTTTGTATTTTCTATATGAGCAATCGCATGATACACAAATACAGCATTATTTCTTTTGTTACCAATTGGTATAACTTTTCTTTTTCTGTTTTTATTGCATTATCTAGGGTTTTCGATACAACGTTAAATAGAAATGGTGACAGTGCACAGATACCCTGTGATTCTCAACTTCAGAGGAAAGTATCTAATTTCACACCATTGAGTATGACACTTGTTATAGGTTTTTTGTAGATTTTCTTTACCAAGATAAAACATTCCTTTTAACTTTCTAGTTTGAGACATTCTTTATTATAAATGAATGCTGGATTTTATAATGATTTCTCTCCATCTATTCATAATCAATATGATTATGGTGTCTTGATTTGTTAGTGAGTTAATGTGGGAATTACATTCGCATTGAACTAGCCTTGCCAACCTGGAATAAGTCTCACTTGTTTGTGCTGTATAATTCATTTTTAGCATTGTTGAATTTTATTTTATAATATTTTCTTGAGAATTGTTGCCTCTATATTCTTGAGAGACACTGATCTGTAGTTCTCCTTAATTATAATGCCTTTAATGTACTTTTGCCCTAGAGCAATGCTAGCCTCATAGCATGAGTTAGGAATTATTTCCTCTGTTCCTATTTTCTGAAAGAGAATGTAGAGAATTAGTAATTTATTTAAAAAATATTCTGTAGAATCCATCAGTGAAACCATGTGCGCTTCTTCTTTGGAAAACCTGTTGAGTATTGAATCAATTTTTTAAAAATAATTTTTATTGTTAATTGTAGATATACAATACAGTTACATTCATCATTGGGATCTTGTACCTTTATATGGCATTTCTTGGTTCTTATTTTTTCCCCTTGAATCAATTTTAACAGATACAGACCTACTTGCAGTTTCTCCATTTCTATTTGTGTAAATTATCTTAGATTTTAACTGTCTATAGATTGGTTTATTTCATCTAAAATATCAAATTAATGGGCATATACTTGTTTAACATATTCCTTTACTGTCCTCTTAATTTCCACAAAATCAGTTGTGATGCTCTTTTCTCATTTTTTATATTGTTAATTTTGTCTCCTCTCTTTTGTCAATGGTTAGTCTGGCTACAGGTTTATGAATTTACTGATATCTCAAAGAACAGTTTTGTCCATATTGATTTTCTTTCTTTTTTGGCTTGTTAGCTTTTTAATCACACTGGTTTCTATTCTAGTTTTTATTATTTCTTGTCTTTTGTTTATTTTGGATTTCCTCTAGTTTCTCTAGAAGCTTCAATTATTGGTTTTATCTTTCTTTTTTTTATACAGTATATGCATTCAACACTGCTAATTTCCCACTAGACACTGGTTTTGCCATATGACAAAAAATTTGTATAAAGTTGCATGTCCATTTTCATTTAGTTCTAAATATTTAATTTCTCTTAGACTACTTCTTTGACTTATGCATTATTTAGAAGTGCTGCTTAATGACTAGGTAATTTTGGAATATATAAACTATTCTTTTAATATCAATTTCTAGCTTCATCCATAGTCTGGATTTGCCTGAGGAAACTATTGAGCTGGAATGTATGTCAATAGAAATGTCTTGTACTGTGAGCAAACAGAAAATATTGATAAAATATAAAGAAAATGTGAGAAAATGAAAAGATGGAAATAAAGTGGTTGTAAATGGGGAGGGGAAGAGGGGTGAAGGGAGGGCAGGGACAAGGGGTAAAAATGAGAACCAAGACCTGTCATGTAGAGGTACAAGATCCTACCAGTGAATGTAACTGTACTGTATCTCTAAAATGTACCAATAAACTCAATTAAAAAGAAAAAAATATATATATAATGAAGAATGTGATAGTCTAATGTGATAGTTGGTGGAAAAAATAACATCTCTGAATATAATTTAATTTCATTTGGAACTAAATCACTTATTCATCTTCATCAGTAGTAGTTAGATCATACTGTGTATTAGATCCCTATATAAACTAAAATTGTCTAATGTTTAATGTGAATGGTCCTAATAAACATACACTTATGTTTTCATCTAAAAAATAAAGAAATAGGCAAGCATGGCAGGACAACTACAGAAGGTGCAACCCAAATGTAAAGACATATCAGAAGTTAAGACAGAGAGAAAAGAATACAATGAGATGACTTTGTGTTCTACTGGGCTGAGGCTCCTCGCCGAGAAAGCCCCTGGGCTGAGAACTGCAGTTATCTTCATGGAGGAGAAGTATACAGCTGGGCAATCTGATCCTCTCATGGTGCCTTTTCCAGGTTGCACATGCGTGTCTCTGGTTAAAGGCCTAACTACCAATTCTTAGATGCTAGCTTTTGACTTTTACTTAGGGCCAGTTGCCGAATATGCATATACAAAACATTTCCATAAAAATAGGGACAGAGCTGAGCAGAAGGCTGCCCAGATGCACGCCTGTAGCATAGGTGCTCTGTGTTACGGGTCAGCTAGCTACAATCCACTTGGTGAGGCACCTGCCCAGACAAAAGAGCTTTGCTGGATTTTGCAGGATGATCTGAGGGCTGAGGGTGGGGGTGGGGTGGAAGAGAGAGAAGGGAAACCTCACACTATTCTTTGGGGGAGAGTTTGCAGTCTTCTTAAACCTCTCAAATAGCTAGGATTACAGGCATGCAATATTACCAGATCAGAGACTGAAAGGTATTGCTTCTTTATGCATTCTGCTGGAAGAGGTAACAAAGGAAACCACCCATTTTCACAAATAAACACATCAAAATTGATGAAATAATGTAGTAACCGTTTCGTCAAAAGAAAGATTTGTGAGTTGTTCATGCCCAGACAAGTCTCCATACTCTTCCCCTTGACAGACTCTCTAAGGTTTTCTTTACCAATTGAACTTATGGGAAGCGGGTGGTGGGGCTATGCACTTAGGAGGCATTGTTGTACACAAGGGGCCCCGTGTCCAATAAGGTCACAATCTATAGATTCCAAATCAAGTGGAGAGTGTGGCAGGTGTGCCCTTACTGGGACACTCCTTGAACTCCCTGCATGGATTTTGTTTTATTTTCATGTTGTCTTTTAACCTCCTGGACCAACCCAGTGCTGTGTTTGAAGTCCTCCTTGCTTGTCCTTATACGGCTTCATTTTTTTTTTCACCAATACACATTGTTATTGTGTTGTCAAATATATTCAACTACTGACCAGCAGATTCAGACCAATGATCACTTTCACCCAGATTTCTTCTAAATTAATTCAAGATCTTTACCATTGCACTTAATCAAAGATAAATTCTCTGAGCCTCAGAAGGCCAGGGCTGCTGGGCAAGGAGGTGTGAATGTGGGACAAATGCTTTATGATTTTAGACCTTGTTGATCACATTTGTCAGACTAACGTTTTGCACAAAAATGTTTGCAAGAATTGCTCCACGGCTTTAGACTCGAGTCCCATGAATAATGTTTTTGCACTTATAGGCATTTCCTCACACAAAGAAAGAAAAGGTTTGTGTTCTCTATCTAGACACTGTTAACATTTACCATGTCCCACACTACTGAAAAGCCTTCGGTTTGGAGTAATCACCTTTTGAATCTACTTGGTACAGTTATGCTTCTTCGATCATTTGCTCGTACCTGCCTAGGGTTACTAAGGCCCAGGGACAGTTCTCACTGCCTTCTGAGTGTGAATCATTGATCTTCACTACAACAGAAACAAGGAGGTCTGCATGCTTGCACAGTGGGGGTTCTTGGATGGATGAGCCCTGGGCAGGGTTTTACATTTTCCCAGTGGATTCCTTACAAAAAGGTGGAGCAGATAGACGTGCTCACGGAGCTAGAGGTTCGTGACAAGTCCCAGTCAGCAAAGAGCCTGCCACACGTCTGGGATGGGGGTGTTTCAGGGAGCACGACAGGCTCTGCTTTCATCCTTACTGGGAGGACTGGGATCCAGCAGCCCCTACGGGGTCAGGCCAGCCGAATTCGGGGCGTTGCTCTGTGCAGACAGTGCAGCACCGAGAGTGGGACAAGGGACCGTCTCCCAGCCTCCCCGCAAGAGATCCTGGGGGCAGTGTGAGTTCTTGTCCCCCGCGCTCCAATTCCTAACAAGTAGCGACTCCGACCCGGTCCCTTCAATTATCCCTGCCATTCAGGGACAGTATAGTGCGCTAGCTGAGTGGCAAGGTCAGGCCCCATTGGGTGCCTGCACAGTCTCGGTCTCTTTCTTGTTGGCCATGAGCTTGGTTCCTGGCCACGCCTCATCATACCGCTATTCTGTAACCCCTTGTGCCACGCGGGCTGCACGCAGACAGCCAATGAGAATCATCAGGAGTGGGCTGGTGGATTCCACACTGGCCAATGGGGTGTGGGGTCTCAGTAACCAATTGCAACCTCAGGCCCGCCATTTTGACGCCTCACTGCTTTCCAGAGACGCGGCTTTTGCCCTCGGTTGTGTGGTGGAGGCTTAGCGGCTCTTGGTACATTGAGGCCAAAGAGACACAGTGCTACTATTATTATTCCCGCTACTTCGGCCTGGAGTTCTCTGCAATGGAAGCCAGAGCCCGGCCTGCACTAGGTGTTCCCGAAGCAGCCCAGTGCGTCTACTTCGGTGAAGGAGTTCTCGGCCTCCTGGAGCTGGACGAGGGCCACGAGGGCCATCCTGGCCAAGCTGCCAACTACTGCCCTCTTCAAGTGGTGAATGTGAGTCAGAGAGGTGACGCTGACCGCCCTGTGAATCAAGGTCAGCACCTGCAGCCCGTCCACCAGCTGCCACTTGCCCAGCAGGATCCTTTTGTTGCCATGAATCAGAGCGGGTATCAGTGGCAGCCACGATTTCGCTTCACTGAATGGCAGGTGCAGGAACTGGAAAGGGTTTTCCAAGAAACTCAGTACCCAAGTGTGATCACAAGGTGAGCTGCTGGCTCGGGGTGCACCTAGGCTGGGGGAGGGACGGGTCTCTGGGTGCACCCACACTGGGGGTCTCATTTTCAAGTGCATTTCTCTGTCTCCTGCTGGCCTCTTTCTCCTCTTGACCAGAGAGCACCTGGGATGTTCTGCTTGCCTTTGTCCGGTGGGTGGGGTGGCGCCTGGTGTGGATCGAGGTCAGGATTTTCATGCTGTATTGTCATGAATCTAGTCTGGAAAATAGTCGGTGGCTACTACTTTGTTTTGTTTGCATAGTGTGCCATTAGTTGAGCAGGCAGAAAATGTAGTACGTAAATCACTTTGAAACTTAGACATCACCAGCGTTAGGTATTTTAATGTTGCTGTGTGATGGGTCTCCAGAACACTATTCATCTCATGAAATCAAGCTATTCACATGAAACACCTCCCATTTACCCCATCCCCTCAACTTCTCCCAGTCATAATTCTACATTTTTATTTTAAGAGTTTGAGTTATCTAGAAACTGGACCTAAGTGAAATCTTAGCTGTTAGTGTTTTTGTGCCTGGCTTAGGGTACTTCATATACTCTCATGGTACAACCATGTTGCAGCGTGTGACAGCAGTTCCTCCTTTTCTAGGGCCGAGTAATATTGCATTGCCTGGTTACATCCTAGCTTGTTAATCATTCATATGTGGAGAGGTTGCTTTCATGAGTAGTGTTGAGGTGAACATGTCTGACAGATAGCTCTGAATATCCAGGTTTTCAGTGTTTTAGATAAATCCTCAGAAATGAAATCATTAGATCATATAATTCTATGTTCATGCTTTGAGATTCCAGCAGACCCTTTGGAAAAGTGGCTGAACAATTTGACATTTCCCCTAACAGTGAACAAGAGTTCCAGTTTTTCTTGGGCTCAGCAAGCTTGTTATATCCTAGATTTTTATAGTGGTTCGGATGATGGGCATGATTGTTATCACTGTGGCTTTGATGTCATTAATGATTGATTAGTCATCCTAGCTTTTTGTGTACCTTCTTTGGAGAAATGCTTCATAGAGTCCTTTCTGATGCTTAAACCTGGCTAGTGTGTTTTGCTTATTGACTTGGGAGAAATGTTTCGGTATCTCTGTGTTACGCATACTTTGCAAATGTTTTCTTCCATTCTGAGGCTTCCTTTTAACTCTCTTGACTGGACATGTTGATGTACAGAAGAGGTTACTTCTGTCATAGTCCGCTTTATTTTTCTTTTATTTGCCTGATTTTGTGGCTGCTTTTATAAACCAAATTTGTTTGGACTCAGGGTCAGTAGACTGAGGTACTGTCATGCTATAGGCTTTCCATAATTAAAATTTGTAACATTTTTGCATCATAGAGTTTGGTATTCATTATTGGTTTTCAGAGTAATGCTTTAAAAATAGCTCTGAGCTCTCTTACTGCCTTAAATTTGGTGAGCAAGTCAAAACATTTCCAAAGAGAGGCTTTTTCTCTGGGGATTAAAGAAAAATATACTTGGGGCACCGTGAGGGATTATTGCAAGGCTAAAATCCAGCACAGAATGTATATATGATAATTTATTGCTGGCAGAGCTTTGGGGAAAGAGGAACCCTGCTCCACTGCTGGTGGGAACGTAGACTGGTGCAACCATTGTGGAAATCAGTATGGAGATATCTCTAAGAACTAGTATTAGGAGTCCCATTTGACCCAGCTATTCCCCTGCTTGTTATCTTCCCCAAAGAATTAAAAGAATCATACCACAGTGATATGTGTGCACCCATGTTTATAGCAGCACAGTTTGTGATAGCTAAAACTTGGAAACGGCCCAATTGCCCATCAACTGGAGACTAGATAAAGAAGATGTGTGTGTGTGTGTGTGTGTGTGTGTGTGTGTGTGTGCGTTTTATAAAATGAAGTACAATTCAGCCATGAAGAATGAGAAACTAGAGACATTTATAGCTAAATGGATGCTCATGGAGGCCATACTCTTAAGTTAAATAAATAGGACACACATGTGTAAATACCAAATAGTTTCTCTGGTGTGAGAAACTGAAAGTGTAAACGAACAGTAAAAGGTATAATAGATAATGTGACATAGGAAGAAAAGGGGCAAAGGGGAAGGGGAGATGGTAGGGGTAGGGGAAAACGGAATGGAAGTAATATGAGAAAATGAAAAAATGGAAACAAAGTCTTTGTAGATAGGGAAGGATGGAGAGGTTGAAGGGAGGGCAGGGGGATGGGGAAAAAATAAGAACCAAGATAGATTATGTAAAGGTGTAAATTTCCAATGATGAGTGTCATTATATTATACAGCTTACATGTACCAATAAAATTAATTTAAAAAACAAAATTCATGTATAATGACAGAAAATAAAAATAGCTCTGAGCTCTCACACCACCTTACATTTGGTGAGCAAGTCAAAACATTTCCAAAGAGAGGCTTTTTCTCTGGGAATTAAACAAAAATATACTTGAGGCACTGTGAGGGATTATTGCAAGGTCAAAATCCAGCACAGAATGTATAATTTATGATAATTCAGTCGTCTGTAACACTGAGTCCTTCATCCACTACAAAATATGGAAAACTTTTGGTTTTCTCTCTGCAGAATGGTGCTTGCAAGAGACCTGAATGTGCCTGAATCCAAAGTGCAGGTCAGTACATCCAAGAACAGCCAATTGACAAAGCTGTTGGTCTCCATCGTGCTTCAGGACATAGCTTTGTCCTGGACATTGTCAGACTAGTGTTATTTCTCATCCATTTTTTACCATGACAAGCAGGGTTTGAATGTATGAGGATTCATAGGTAGAAAATGGGATAAGTAAACATGAGCTTGTAGTTCCTTCCCGTTACCAGAGGAAACATGATGTCCTAAAGGAAAAAAACAAAACAAAGCAAAAACAAACAAACAAACAAACAAAAAACACAAAGCAACCACCAAGCTGCTTCTCCTATTCTATGTGTACATATAACACAAAGAGATGTAATTACCTACATACTTAGTACATAGATATATGTATGTATTTATTCACTAAGTTCACCTCTTTGTAGAACTGCTATCCTTTAGGGAAAACTTCTGTGTACAGTCATGTTGGGGCTCAGTCTTATTTTGAATGTATTCAAATGGTGAAGGGACAAAGTTATAAGAGGTTTCAATTGTCAAAAATTATTTGAAATTGGGCTGGGGATTTAGCTCAGTGGTTCCGGCACCTGCCTTGCAAGTGCAAGGTCTAGAGTTGATCCCCTGTACCAAAAAAAAAAAAAAAAAAAAAAAAAAAAAAAAAAATTGAAGTCAAACCTAAGAACTTAGCCAAACATGAGTTTGTAAATATTCATTTTCTTGGTTTTATCTTTGTTTCTGTTGTTTTTTTCTTTTTGGTGACGGGGATAGAATCGAGGATCTCACACATAAAATGTTAGGGCTCTGTTACTGAGTTGTATCCCCATTCCCAGATTCATAAATATTGGGAAGTGGGAGTAAATCCTACGGAAAATACTGTATGAGCAAGTAATGAGCATCTAATTAAGCTGAGAGTGATGAAAGAAGTTCACTAAAAGGTTAATTGTGTGGCCTTCTTTTCTTTATTGTCTAGATACTTTAATAATTCAAAATATTGAGAGCAATATTGTATATGATATCATATGTGTAGCACAGTTTGCTATGTATTTTATATATCTGCTTTTGGCTTTTTTGAGACAGGGTCTCACTATGTAGTTGAGACTGACCTGGAACTTACCATGTAGCCCAGGCTGGTCTCGAACTCACAGCGATCCTCCTGCCTCAGCCTCCCAAGTGCGGGGATTACAGGCGTGCGCCACCACGCCCGGCTTGTTATTGTATTTTTTAAATGAACGAAATCAAAAGTTTTCAGTAACTTGAATGTTGGGGAAAAAACTTTAAATTAGGATTTTCTTACCAAGTTATGGTTTACATTTATTATATGTGTAAATATAAACAGGATGATAATTTTAAAAACTTGTAAATAGCTGCTCTTGCAAAATTACAACACACTAATAATTCCCTCCCACATTTTGTACAAACTACATGATTTTGCTATATAAGGATTCTGTTTTTATTACACTGACAATGTACAGCCAATACTATTTCCAGTGCAAAAAAACTATTATAAACAGCCATTTTAACATGCTGCTTCTGGCAACCGCTATAGCTTATTTTTTATTTTTCTGGTACCAGAGATTGAACTAGGCATTATAGTTTAGAATATAGTTTTAATGAAACAAAATGAACAGAGGCCACATTTCCCAACTTCTGTTCTAAACATAATTTACAGATAAAAAAATTCCTTACATGCACAGTATATACAGTTTAATTATTAAACTGCAGTCTAGCTTAAATGTTTTAGTATATCCAGAATAACCAATATGGCAGTGGGTTGGCTATGGATTTAGCACACTGTTCAAAGACATACTGAGAAATTATAACTTTAAGATTCCACATAATAACATTTGAAGCCTATAATTGAGAATAAAGTAAAAATTTAAACTTTACGACATCAGACTAAAGTTTATTCTTTCTACCCCACCGTGATATATTTGTCTTGTCTCACCAGAGCTCAGCATCTGAATATTGGGGCTTTTGTATTTGTTTGTCTGTTTATTTGAGATAAGGTCTTGCTATATATCTCAGGCTTGCCTTGGACTTGTAGTGATCCTCTTGCCTCAGCCTCCCAAGTTTTGGGATTACAGACGTGCACCACCATGCCCAGCAGCATTTGAGAGTTTAATAGGCCTTTTTTGGAAATCAAAGTATGGGATAAATGCGTGGAAATTTCTATGTAATAGTATAGGTTCAGGAGAATCCATCTCACTGAGAAATAAATATAAGTGCTTCACATCATATTTACTCCTGGTTTCTTGCAGTTACATGAAATTACTTACCTCATTTTACTTTCCGTGTAATTCAAACTCTAAATAGATGCTGTACCAACAAAACAAGACAAGATGGGGAAAGCCACGGGTATTAGGAAGTATTTATTAATGAGAACAATACACGGCCATCAGACCTCTCAGGTGCTGTTAAAAATCTCCATCTGCTAGCCCACACAGAAATTACCCTCTACTTTTTCCTAGTATTGATAGCCAGGCATGGAAAACATGGAGGGGAAAATTTCGGTGATCACACAAAGCAAAGTACAGTGACCAAAAACAAATGTTCTACCATTAAAAAGAAACTAACAGCTTTAAAAAAATTATTTATTTTATTTTATTTTGGCACTGGCGATAGAATTCAGGACCTTGCACTTGCAAGGCAGGTGCAGTGCCCCTGAGCTAAATCCCTGGCCCTCTCTAACAGCTATTAATATTGCTTTACAAACATTCTCAGGTGTAAAACTGATAAATCATTTGAACAGAATTTGTGGCTCTCTTATGTCAAAGCTGGAAACAGAAAACACAGGAAGGTAATGTCTTTGTGGTCTCAGTGGCCTTGTTGGGTGATAGTAACCGTTTTGGCCCTATAGTCAGTTGTGTAATGGTGAAATGTTAGGGAAAATTAACAAGACTTTTCTTCAGTTATATAAAATCATATTTTAAGTAGTTTTCAAGCTGGGTGTGGTGACACACACCTGTCATCCCAGGACTCAGGAGGCTGAGGCAGGGGAATCACTGAGATCTAGGCCAGCCTGGGCTACATAGTGAGACCCTGTCTCATCCCTCATGCTCTCAGTATTTTAAAAATATTGACGGCTGTTCTTGTGCTTAATTGAGAAATATAAATCTGCTCCCTACAGATCAGGAAAACCCAATGCTGTATTGCTACCTGACACCAACATTCCTTTTCAAGTTGTATCTATTTCCGATAAACCAAACATTGTTTGGCCCTTGTATTTTTCACCAGTTGATAATTCAGGCAGCAGTTCTTTGAAAATTTCTGGTTGGCAAAATAGAATTGCCACCCACGCATCTTCTAAGTGACCCCAGACAGTGATTACACAAGTGCTTCCTGAGAGCAAGACCAGGCTCTGTGCACCCTATAAACACCGTGACCTGGTTGCAGGGACACACAGCACTCAGTCCTTTACTCTGGGGAGGTTGTGTGTGTAGTGCACCAGTGGAAACCTGTAGCTCTGGCAGAAGTGGGCACATCCGCAGGCCTGGACCTGATCGGAGCTGTCCAAGACAAAGGAATCCTCCTCATGGGCATAGTCAGAGTGGGCCAATTCCATGCGACAGTCCAACCAGTAGTACTCTGGTCTTTGGCAGGAAGCCACCACCAAAGTCAGACAGCTGTGGGATTTTATAAGTGACTGCACAACACAGGCTTTGTCAAGAGGAAGGACTCAGAGCAGCCCACACAGCCACATAGCCCTGCAGGTGAGGGTGCACAACGCAGTCGGAGTAGGAGTCCTGGTCCCCACAGCCACGTTGGCTGCAGATGCACACCGAAACTGACCTGCTTTTCCTGATGCTGCATCTCCTCAGGACGTTCCAACCTTCTTTAAACTTTGGATTGAAGAAAACATACAGTATGTTTTTCTTAGCTGCTCTCTCTCTAGCAGGGGTGTAACTATATATTAACTTCACTAAGACCCTTTATCTGTCCCTACGTGTCCCCCAACTTTCCCCATATCCAGGTAGCAGGAGAGTTTAGTGTAGATGACGGACATCAACAGAACAGCCAGGGAGTTCAGGGACACTAAGGTTACAGTGAACCGTAGCAAGGGCACTTCCCTTGGAGGAAATGGCAGGCACAGCAGCAAAGCTGAAAATTCCCTTCTGTGGAGCAAGGGGACACAGCCCTCAACCGAGGCACCCAGGACAGCCTGGGCTGTGGCGACAAGGAACCATCACTGCTGACTGCTCTTATTGTTCTTCATTAGGTTTTTAGCAGAGAAGCTTCTTCCCACAGCTGCTACATTTAATAAAAATTGACACTTTCAGAAGAGGAGACTCCAAGAAAGCCAGCTACTTTTTGCAGCCACTACCCATCTACCAACAGACGCCAAAGCCTGAGAATCTGCCTCAGGACACCACATCCAGGAAGGTTAGGATGCCAGCATAGATGCCAGTGACATGTTGGACATGGCCATGAGGCCCACGAACAGTTTGGAGGAGGGCAGTGATGTGCAAGATGCAAATGTTGTGATGAGGAGGAGAAAGCAGGCTGGCAAACAGGGGCATCAAGAAAATGAACCGTGAGGTTAGATGGATCTTCCAGCCTCCCATCAGGTACTCACAGGGCTTAAAGGCACTACGGAAAGCGTGCAGTAGATAATTATCTGTCTGTGTGTGCTCTTCCTGCTAGGCACTGCTTGTGACATTTCTTGCATCTGAGGCATGTTTCTACTTTGTCACCCATGGCCTTAGAGTCTGTTACTTTCTGTGTTTAAACACTCATAGGAGTCTTAACCCCAAAATGCTCAGCACTGATAAGCATATGGCATCCATGAAGATCAGAGACTGACAAAGTTTTTTGCTACTAAGACTTCTTTCATTTTGAAGTTTTCCATCGGTTTCAGTCAGTTTAGCCCACTCAAGCCTTCCCTTGGAAAGAAAGTTAATTTGTAGAACTTTACATCTAGGTTAATGACTGTTGCAAACTTGGCAAAAGCTCTGCTGTGAATTTCATGGATCTGGTTTCTACTCAAATCCAGAGTCCGCAGGGATGTCAGGCCTTAATAAACATGTTCTATTATTTGTTAGATTTGATAATGTTGCAGTGAAGTCTCTTCCAGAATGAGGCAACCATTAAAATTTTGAAGACTTCTTATATTGTTAGAAGACAAGTCCAGGGTCCTTTAATCTTCTGTCATCAGCACAGGATGTCAGAGATGCTGCTTATTTTCTTACCTGTCAGGGTCAGGCTCTCCAGGTGGATGGTACGTATCAGGTTGGGGAAACTCACACTGTGCTTACCTGGCGAATGACTAAGAAAACTACACCAGATAAATCATGAGACATTGAGTTCCTGACGACAGTTAAAGGATTGTCCTATAAATGTATAGTTTTCAAGAGAGTTGCCACTGGACACTCCATTAGGGAAGACAGAAATGGAATTACAGTAGAACCCCAGGATTTTTGGGTTAGGAGGGACTTTTCATAGCCTCAGGAAATTCTTTCAGTTTACTAGAATTCAAGTTGAAGGTCTGCGGGTTCTCCAGGCCATCAAAACAGTACTGACTCTGGCTTTTAATTTTATTCCTATGAAGATGTAGCATAAGCAGGTCGGTGAACGTGAAGTCTGGGAGATGCTAGAGATGTTGTTGAGGGCCAAGGTGAGCACCCACAGGACGGCAAGTTGCTGTGGGAACTCCCAGGTACCCCAATCGGGCTGTTGTCAGCCAGCCACAAGTGTGGCAACTGCACGAGCCCCTTGAAACTGGCCTCAGGGACCCAGGTGAGGTGGCTGATAGCCAGGCACCAGGACTGCACGGTGCTCAACCTGTGAATGGCTTCGCTGGGGACTGTTTGCAGCTGCAGCTCAAGAACTTAAATTCTTTCAATCCGGGCAAGGCCTTGGGGTGGATGAAAGAAAGGTCATTGCCAGCCAATTGTAGCTCCTTTAGGAGAGGGAAGTCCTTAAATGCATCTTCCAGCAACTGAGTAATGTTGTTTGTGCTGATATCCAGCAGGAGCTGGCAGACCAAGCACTCCATGCACCAGTGGCCCTGGCCTCGGCAGCCTCGGGCCATGGGGTCAAGGGGGCGCCTAGCAGCAACAATTGCAGTACAAACAGCAGATGGTGCATGCCGCCCACCTTGGTCTCCCAGCACTCCACCTTCAGAAGCCAGGCCCTGGGACTCAGAGCCCCCAGTAGACCCTGGCTATTCCTTCAGGCCTGGCGGTGGGAGGATCTCCTGAGACCATCACAGGTCACCGGGTTCAGGGAGCAGGGCTAGGACACCTTCAGCCGTGCACCCCACCTCACTACCTCCTTTATGCCCACCTCTGCCGGCCCTGTAAGTTTTGGGTAAGGCGATAGGGTAGTAGCCCACAATTTAAACTTTTATTCATAATTTTTCTGCAAACACCATGTGAAAATATTTCACAAATACTCAGAATCTGGTTTCAATAAGGGATAGGATTGCACGCTTTGGAAATTGTTTTAAATGGTGAAATGAGCAAGAAGAATGGAATGAAATGAATTTTGGCTAACCTAAGATGAAAAAGATACAGAAACATTGCAAACAGTCCAAACATGCCTTGAAGATTGATCATTAGAATTACAAGTAAGGCTTGTTTTGAGTATTCTTTTTATCATGGAGAGATGTCCTTTTCCTCTTCAGTGGAACTCTCTTGTGAAGGTGGGTTTTGCGGAACAGTTTGCTGATTTCACCCTCATTGGGGAGTAGAACTGTACCTGCCTTAATTCCAAGTATTTCCCATTCCTTCAGACAGGAGGAGCAAATTGTGGATACACCACAGAATCAGAGGATATCAATGAGAGACTGCAAGAACCACATTAGATACCCCATCAAAAGTAGGGAGTGAGGGTCACAAAGTCAGGATGAGTTCAACATTAGCTTTGGTGCAGAGTGCGTGACAGAGAGAAGGGGGAACATGGGCTGCGGTTCTGCTGGTGGGGACCCAGAAGAGCAGCCCAACAAAGCAGGCCACTGAGTGCTGACCTCCTAATGTCACAGGCCAGGCTCCACGCAGCTGTCTCAGCTGGGCGTGTGTGGGGCTATTCTGTCAGGGTGCTGACAAAGTCAGAAGAGAGGATGCCAGGTTTGGGGAGGAGCTTTCTCCCTCCCTGGGTGTGGGCGTCTCTCACTGGACTCCTGAAGGGAACAGGAGCCTCAGCGAACAAATGAACCAGGGACGTGTTCTCAGTATTTCCATTCTGTGCAGCAAGAAATTCCCCAAGAAACTTTAGTCCTGGTTTCTGCTCCCCTGTGCAAAGGTAAGGGACTGGTGGGAAACGAGGCTGGGGAAACAGAGCCGATGCGAGCCCCCCACCCCAACCCAGCAGTGTGCTGTGCACTCCGAGGTGTTCATCCAGACCGTACCAGTGGAGCCTGTGTGTCCTCTCCACACCACTTCTGCTGCACTGAGCTGCGTGCCCCGGGGTACTCATGTCCGGAAGCGGGGATCAGGCAGGCAGAGAAGGCCCTGGTGTCATTAGAGTTCACGGGATGGGAGCTTGCCAAAGGCTCAGGTCCTAGGAATCCCAGGGTACCGGAAGGCCGAGGGCACGTCCAGAGCTCAGTGACATCGGACACAGATCTGGGTCTGGCTGCAGTGTAACGCTTGGCAGAAGTGTACAGGGGAGCTGTGCAGGGACCTGGCCCACTCCTCCCTGCTGGGGTCCCTCTTCCTGGAAAGCAATTCCACTCTTGTGCCTGGGCAAAAAGGGCCGGGCTGTGCATGTCCAGGTGGAGCAGTGAGAAAAGAGCTTCTGCTGTGCGAATAAAATGGCAGTGGCACATGGAGTCACGCGACGTGCTCTTTCATTACCACAGCAACTCTGCTGTGCACTAACCTGGTGCCTTTTGTCTTCTGATCGCAGAATTGGTTCAACTATCGAAGAGCCAAATATAGGAAAATGCTGAGGAATCAGTGCTGAAATATGTACCACCGGAATCCAAGGACCAGTGCCGTGTCTAGACCCTGGAGCAGCAGGGGCAGGTTACCCTTCTCCTGAGACCACGTGGGAGATGGGCTTTTGTTTTGCCACTATGCCTGGGCCACGTGTAAGTGCCGCTGCCACGTTTATCTTCACAGCACTTATGTTAGCAATAAAGTCTTGGGTTTTCAGTAAGTTTGTTTTCCTGTTCCTTTTGGGGTTATGTAGATATGCACGTAATGTGGTAAGGAAATGCCATTCATAAAGAAGGAATATGAGGACCCCTGTCATGGGGGGACCTCCCCAGAGTCACCATCAAGAGCACACCAGTATGCTAACCTCCACGGTGGGCTGTCAGTGACCTTTACTCAGTACAGAAGTCTCTGTGTCCCGATGCCCGACCATGGGTTCCACACCACCACTCGCTCATTTTGGGACCTCAGATGTGTGCAACAACTGCTGGGGAAGTCCCTGGTGAGAAGACCCCATGTTCAGACAGGGCAGGGTTTCTCCCATGCTGAGGAGCTCTGTCGGAACCCCAGACTCTGAGAGCAGCTCCCCAAGAGGTCCTCACTGCACCGTGGGAAGGGGGCACACACAAAGTCATGTGCGGTGCACCCAGTTCTGCCCAGTGTCCTCCCTGCTGGGCAGCACAGAGGGTGCAAGGGGCGATTCTGGAGCAGTTGCTGCTGCTTCAAGAGAACTCCAAGAATCCATCCCGCAGAGGCCATGAGAGTCGGCTGTGCCTTTCTGTCCTGTCGCCAGGCCAGCAGGCAAATCCTGGCAGCTTCCCCAGCTCAGAAGCTGAGTGCCTGTCCCTCCTGTGCGCGGTGTCACCTGGAACACTCCTGTGACGTCAGGAAGTGGAGCTAAACAATACCGGAGCAGAGCGTGACTCCCCACTCACCTCTGTATTCACTCTGCTTTTCGTTCTTCCTTTCGCACAGAGCTCAGAAGTGATAGATCTTCCGGACCTTGAGAGCCATCTGGGTTTGTTTCCGTAGTCCTTGCCGTTTATAGAATAGTTACGTAATTGATCATTTATTTCTAAAAAATTTGAAGAAAATTTCCTAAAGGGACTTTATAAATTCATTACTTAATACTGTCCAGGGGTGTGGTATTATCATATCAATTTGTACGTAAATATGGAGAGAGCCACCGACATCTCATACCTTCATTCTACAATTGTGCATCAAGAATACGGTATTGGGCTGGGGATTTAGCTCAGCGGTGCCAGGTCCTGCCTCACAAGCTCAAGGTCCAGAGTTTGATCCCAGGTACCAACCAACCAAACCAAACAATAACAATCTAGTACTAATTGGTCCATATGCCTTTGATATTTCCATGTCTCTGTACTTTATGTGTCACAGGGGCATAGACCAACGAGTACTTCATTAGTGATTCATGACATTTCCCTTTGAATGAAACATACATGTATCTTTGTGTCTGTCTCAGATATGTATGGTAGGCAAAAAACTATGGTGAATATATAAATTTTTGAAAATTTATGACAATACATATTACCATTAATCTCCCACAGAATATTCTCCCCCGCGGTAAACATATTGTGCTAATACTCTTATGAATTTCTGAAGCGTTTTTGGAAGTCCTATTCCCTTAATGTCTTTGGTTGTGTAGCAACGGTGACTTCCAGTTCAGAATCTTTTCCCGTGTTCAGTGTTCATGTCATTTTGAATTGAGGACAAGCCTTGCCCCATGGCGATAGATCCGGCAAGTAAAGAGGATGAGGACACACTCTCATTTTATATTCAAGAGAAATTGGTGGAAACATAAGCTCAAGGGGTGAGCAAAGAAGCTGAGCATGTTTAAATAAAACAGTTTATGCTAAAAGACACATTGCCATCGATCCTCCTCAAAATGCCCAAAACCCACCTCCTCGCTCCCAGGACACTCATGCCATTACTCATGGCAATGTGTCTTTCAGTTCTAAACAGGATAATTTTTCAATTAAATATTCATTGGCTCTCAGGATCACAATATCCATATTGATTTTTCATAGTAGCGTCTTGAGGAACACTTTCAAACTTTTCTTTGAACCGGATCCATCATTTTACAGAGGTGATGCACTGCACTGTAAGGGAGAGACTGATGTCCCATCTTGCAGCTCTTGAAATGCTCCAGAGCCCATCTAAGTGGCAGAACAATCCGTGAGCCTTCTCCCACTTTCCTTCAGAGAACGGCTGTTGAAGGACCCTCATTCCCTCAAGAGGCCCCAGTGGGTCAGAGGGCCTAAGGAGAAAGTGGGTGTAGACGGCAGAGGGCCTGAAGTGGGAAGGGAAATGGATGGCAGGGACGCAGTAAGCGATGGAGGAGGGAGGGCCTGGCACGGCCCATATTAAAGGCCACAAGGCCAGTGCAGACAGGGATGCAGATGCTCCGAGGAGGAAGGAGGGGCAGAACCAGTGAGGAGGGAGGAATCCTAGAGAAGCCCGTGCAGGGGGATCTTCATCAGTTTACCAGAGAGGCCACGGAGGTTGTCCCCAGGAAAATCGTGCCCTAGGAACGAGGCACACAGAGCTGGGACAGCACAGGCAGAGGGGTCCATGGAGGGGCTTCAGTCAGCTGAGACTTTCCCGTGTGTGAGAGAGAGGATTACGTAGAGCAGAAAGGCCTCAAAAATCCAAGGAAAACCATTGCCCAGAGCAAGGAGTGTCCACAGAGAGAGCCAGGAAGAGGCCTGCTCCCCTAGGAGATGACTTTCCAAAGAAGCCTGAGACGCTAGCCCAGCATGAGAGACTGTGCTGGAAATCTTAGGGGTCAAGTCCATGCTGTAGCCCAAGTTTGTCTCGAGTGAGGGTTGAGGTGTCTGGAGAGTCGGTGGGGCCCAATTAGTCAGTGCCAAGGGAGGGAAAGGATTCACACAGGTGCTCTTGGGGTCCTGCGTGAGAGGACCTGCAGTCTCCTGATGAATCTGACGTTGCTCAAGTCACAGCACCCATAACTGTTAAAGTGAAAATGATGTTCACTGCCTCGGTGGCACACGCACTGTGGGATGCTGAGGCAGGATTGCGAGTTTGAGGCCAGCCAGGGTTTAGCCAGATGCTGTTTCAACATAAGAAATGAGCTGAGGACATAGCTCTGCATGAAGATCCTGTGTTCAATCGCCAGCACTCTAAGAGAAATAATTTTGGCTGGTTGGACATGTTAAGGAAGACTTTATTTCACGGGGAACAATCGAGTTAGGCACAGTCAGAGAAGAGCACAGGAGCAGGGCTGAGCTGAGGTGAGGACGGAACTGTATCCCCGCGTCCCTTTGGCTCAGACACCGTGGGCTTCCAGGGTCTTTACAGACACAGGGGAGAGGGTCAGAGGGTTGTAGGGATCAGAGCGACGGGGTCGGGCAGTGAGCAGAGACTGAGCTCGCCTGCATGAAGTATGCATAAGTGGGTATGCACAGCTCAGGACCAGGCTAGAGCTCGGGGCGTGGACATCAGTAAGACAAGGGTCTGGGGTAATGGAGCATTCTGGCTGAGCCAACCTAATGGGGTCCTTGCTACACCTGGAACAGAGTGATCAGACATCCCCAGGGGATGGGAAAGGATGAGCAACCGACCAGATACTGAGGGGGTTCAGGGAGGAGGATGGCCACACTTCCCTAGCAGGAGTTCTGCTAAAATGGCACCGTGCACAAACAAAGTCAGAGATCCAAACACCCAGGTCCAGTTGAATGAGAGATCAGAGGATGTTGGAGTTTAGACCAGGAGAGAATGTTTCCAGCAGAAAATCTGAGTTGCACACCGTGGGGCTTCTCCCTTCCATGAGCTCTGCCTAAGACGGAATCAACCCAATTATGCTGAAGAATGTCATTTTTGAATGTTTGCATGAAATTCTTATTCTGTAATTTAGAAATATTCAAGGAGGAAGAATGTGAAGAAAAAAACTATACTCTGTTGTTCTGAAGGGTTCTGAAAATGTAACAGTAAGCACAAAACCTCTAAGTCCATATTTTTGCAAGTGTCACATGGCTGTAATTTGAGCACTTGGGAGGCTGACACAGAAGGACAGCAGCTTTGAGGTCTGCCTGCTATACACAGAGAATTCAAGTTCAACGTGGAACAGAATGAGATCCTGTAGCAAAATTTAAAACACAAAAGAAAAAAGATGTCAGTCAGTGCAAAGGCCCTGGGTTCCATCTACAGAACAAAAATACTTGAATTCTGTAAAGAACACGATTTCTAGTAACACGGTAATGTACATCTCGGTGTGCAGCTCATAGCTGCAGCAACCAGGAACTGCAAGGAGAGGAGAAAGACTGGCACATTCGGAAAGGACCTGTGTTTGGTGACAACATCAAGCGGTAGGATGAGGAATGCCCTGCAGTGAGTATACAGATGCATGAAGGGATGAATACAGGAGTGAAATGTGGGGCTCCCTATGCCCAGCACGTAGGGTGCTCAGGAGCCCTGAGCAAGGAAGCTCCAGCACACTCTCAGAAGTCCCAGTACTGCAGACTTTGAGGAAGGGACCCAGCACCCCAGACTGCCAGCTTAGATCTCTGTCCCGAGCATCCCCAATACCCCCGCTGCACAGGCTCCGGACACACCAGTGGCTCCCAAGGCTGTCCAGGGCCCCACCTGGGCGCTTGCAGCTGCAGGGCCTCCACACGGGCTCAAGGCCGGTGTGTGTTGCGCATCTGCTGTGCGCCTGAGCCCGTATCCGCCTTTCCCTGCTTCCTGCTCCATCCACACCCCTCTGTCTCTGGAAACACGAACCGGATCTCGGATCTCGGACTGAAAAATTCACCAAGTTTGCAGCAAATTATAGAGCTCCACCCAGCTTATATGCGTGAGATCTCCCTTCAAGAAATACTTTGTACATGCTCTGAGAGGCATTTCTATCCTGCATACTAAATGTAAGTGCAAAAAAGCCCGTCCTCTGGGCTTGCTTTTAAGGTAGTGGAAAATCAATGCGGCATCCCCAAGCACGCTTGTCTTTCACCGAGGACGGGGTCTCACCAAGTTGCCCAAGCTGGCCTTGAAATTGCGATCCTCCTGTCTAGATCCCACCCAGCTTGGGTTAAGGCACAGGCCATTTGGCAGGCCACAGACTGAAAGCAAGGGCCTCTTTAGACACCCTGCAGCAATGAGGAAGAAACAAAGTAATGATTTCTGTCCAAAACGCACCCAGAAACTTG